TGGTGCAGCTCAGGGTCGTCTGTGTTACTGAGCAGAGATATTATTGCAGTGTCATCAGAGTACTTAATGATGACTGGATTTGGTGTGTTGGTACGACAATCATCAGTGTAGAGAGTAAAGAGCACAGCTGAACTCACGAAGCCCTGGGGGGCCCCTACATTGGTTGTGATGGCAGATGATAGGGTTTTGTTAACCTTCACAAGTTGCTCTCTACTAGTGAGTAAAGCAGCATACCAGTAAATCAGGTATGGATTTACTTCCATTTTGGCCATTTTTGACACCAAGATGTCTGCTTGTATTGTGTTGAATGCTGATGAGAAGTCTAGGAAGAGGGCTCTTGCATAGGTGTTGCGTTTATCTAAATGTTTAGTGATGATGTGAACCAGAGTGGCCACAGCATCTTCCGTACCACACCCTTGTTTATAGGCAGATTGGTATGGATCAAGTTTGTCTTGTGTTGTACTGATAAGAAATCAGAGCAGAATTATTTCTTGTGATTTCATAATCACTGAGGTGAGGGCTATTGGTCTGTAGTCCTTATGTTCTTTTGGGCATGGCATTTTGGGCATGGCATTTTGGGCAGCGGTTTGATGTGTGAAGTTTTCCATGACAGAGGGATGGTGTGCGTGTCAATAGAAGCCTGAAAGATGGGTTGCCACTCTGGAGCCAGCTCAGTAGCAAAGTTCTTCAGCAGAAAAACCGCTGCACCCATCTGGCCCAGCCGCTTTCTTGGTGTTGGTGTACTGAAATGTTTTTCTGACCTCTTCGACACTGATGGTAATTTTGTTAGAGGAAGCAGGTATTATGGTTCCGAGCATTTCAGTGCGCTTTGCAGAATTATCCAGTGACTCAAAACGGGTAAAGAACGTGTTTAGTTCGTTAGCAAAACAAAATTCATTGTTCGTCACAATAGGTTTAACTGAGGATGACATTCCTGTCATGGTTTTCAGGGCTGAAAAGTTTTTCATGTAATTTGGAGTGACATTTCAGTGTTGGTAAGGTCAATGCATTTGAGAAGGCGTTCAGTGATATTACCCGACACAAAGCCCAGAGTCCTCTGCCAAGCAACATTTTGTTATAAAAGTTCAGCGACCAAATTCACAATTTTCAAGCATTAATAGATTAAAATCCAAGCTCATACTTCCGATCAATGATTAATAAGTGTGGCTGTTCAGCATACTTGCCAGACTTCAGACACCATAGCCTAAAAATGATGCAGATTAATCACCCTTCACCTCAAAAGTCCTGCACTAAGGAGCACTTACACTTTTCCACTCATGACTCAGAACTGTACGTTCCTGCCAGTCTTTGACTCAGCGCGTCATATTTAAAAAAAGGAGAGGCTGTCCAAAGTGAATACTTCTTTCATATTTGTATTTTGTGTCTCTATTGTGACATGTTTGCATGCTTTAGTGTTCAAAAAGGTCTTTCAGCACCGCTTTTCACCCTCTGTCTGAAACCAGTCTGCTCTGATTGGTTAGCTGGCTGGCTCTGTTGTGATTTGTCAACCTCTTAGAAATGTCTGACCCCTTAGCCCTATCACGTACAAAGTGTATCGCTATCCAATATAATGTAAGTCTTACGTTGTGATTTCATTATGTTACTGGACTACAATAAAGTATGTAACCCTCAGATAGGGGGGGGGGGAAGAAAGAACATTTACTTGAATAGCTATTCATTCAAACCTTTATTTAACCAGATGGTCCCATTGAGATCATCGATCTCTTTTTCAAGGGAGACCTGTCCAACATGGCAGCAAGTAGGTAACAACATGAACATAAAACAACAGATAACACAAAAGGACATCATATTTAAAGGGCTACATTTACATACCTAGAGACATTGACAAGTATCATTGCATCTATCCGAGCTTTAAAAACAGGCAGTGGAACCAATTTGCTCAGTTTCAAATCTTTTTGAAGACTGTTCCAAGCAAGTGGAGCTGCACACATAAAAGCCTTGTCCTTGCACTTGGCACATGTAACAAAACCACATCATGAGATCTCAGGCAATAGCTACCTGCAACTCTCCGTGTAATCAGAGAGCAGATATAAGATGGTAGTATACCCAACATGGCTTTGTAGATGAACATGTACCAATNTCTCCTATGCTGTTCCCTTAAAGTGGACCTATCATGCTATATTTCAATAATGCATATATTGCAATCCCATATATAAATATAGGTATGGTCCAACACTATATTATTGAAATATAGCATGATAGGTCCACTTTAAGGGAACAGCATAGGAGACAGACAGGAAGTAAACACTGAAGGGAACAGCATAGGAGACAGACAGGAAGTAAACGCTGAAGGGAACAGCATAGGAGACAGACAGGAAGTAAACACTAACAGGAACACAGTATGGGCTCTGGCAGTGTCTAAAGACTGGTTAATGGAATATAAAATGTGAACAGACTTGGATAGTTACAGAAAAACTCGATCAGTGCTGTATCAGTATCATTGTATCCAATTATTCTTATTCAACCAAAGGTTCTGACAACAAACTGATGCTGTCCAAACTCAAGTCCCAGCTTGCGGAACTCCGATCCAAAGTTGTCTTCTTGGATACAGTGAAGAAATATCTCGAGGTACTTTCAAAGTGTCACAAATCCAAGCAATGCTTTTTCTTATTTATTATCTAACAACTTGGCTCTTCTGTCCTTGACATTATTTATTATATTTCTGCAGATTCTGAGTGTGGACCAGTGGGGTTTGGAGGTTTCATTACTTCCTTCTTTGGCCTCCTGTGGACCCGGGTCTTTGGACTTCCGTTCCTCTGAGGATCCGTCAGCTCTGAGCTTCGGCAACAGCAAAGGGAAGAGCATTCTGCAGGTCGGGTCTCCTCTAGGCCTCATGGCTTACCTCTACGCCAGGTACTACTGATGAGGGTTTATTTTTGAACGCCTCGGTCAGTCACAATGACTACTTTTGTTGGACAATGAATATTTTCCCGAAAATGTATTATTCTTGTCAAATTAGGACATTATGCCGCTGATATAATAATAATAATAGCTTAATAACGCAACTAGAAAAAAATAAGATAGCGAGTTGGTGCAGTATGTCCCCTGTTGTCTATGTCTAGTAAAGATGGAACCAAAAAAGGTACCGGCTACTATCAACCACTTTTGATAATGGAAAATAAATGGTTCTAAGGAAGTTGAGCCGTGTCGTAGCATGCAGTGGAAATGCAGCATGTTAGCATGTCATGCAGTATACAACAGTGCTGTTCAATCATTTGTTTTGAATTAGTTTTGGACAACCTACCAGGCTTTGGCTACACAGACAATAGAGTGGTGTAAGAGTTTTTAACCCCGGAAATTAGTTAGCATTTTAGCACTTTAGCCCCCTTGCCTTGAAGTGACTGGTTTTTCTAACCTGTTTTTGGTTTCGATTCCCAAAATAAGTTCTGTGGTTAATACAAGCTTGTGAGTTTTTCCCTATTTGTTCTACATGTGTATTTGTACACCTGTATCTGTTCAGGGGACAAATTATTGTCAGTGTTTTTGATGTAGTCTGTTAGTAGGGGAAGTTTTGTTATGTTGCTAGCAGCAGGTAGAAGCGTCCTAAATCAACATGTATGTAATGTATGTACTATTTTTTTGCTTTGTTGATCTTCATGAATACCCATTTGTTTGGCTTTTCTCATGACACCCACCACCAGTAACTATGTTGTAATAGTTTGGGGGTGGGGGGGGTGGCTTTGGTGTGATGCTCTCTCACGCTGAATGGAGCCATTTAAAGTAGGCACCTACGGACCTATCTTGTTTTAAAAATGTTCTGAGCACAATTATGCAGGATTATGCAGTTCTGAAATAAACAGTTTTGTTACTCTCTGAACTTAGTTGAGTTGATATTCTCATTTTCATCGCAGAAATGCAGCTTTGGAGGGCTACATCCAGCAGTTCCTGTATACCTATCGTTTCCTCTGCACTCCTGAGCAGTTACTGCAGTTCATTATGGATAAATTCATCGCTGCTGCAAGGTACAGTATATCCAGCAATCTCCACTAAAGTTTTTCCTGTAAATCTTAAAATGTCATCAGAATACTTTATTTATCGTGGGGTAAATTGGGTTTTGTGACAGTTGTTATATTTTAGAATTAAATAACTTAAGATAATTAAGATATATAAAATAAATAGAATAAAATAAATTAATGAAGGAATGTGCAATAAAGAGGTCATAGAAAATGAAAATAATGATATAAACATATTAGTTAAAATAAAATGTTGCATAAAAGTTTAAATAGACAAAATATTTATGTTAACACAGGATGTTAAATGAGATATTTTTGCTATTTCTCTTCTTAACCTGTTAAGCCCGATGCCCCCCCCCCCC